TCCATTCATCCAATCTAGACTTTTTTAACTTGCTGGCAAGAATACTGTGGGAGACCGTATCAAAAGCTTTGCTAAAGTCAAGAAATAACACATCCACTGCTTTCCCCTCCTCCACAGAGTCAGTTATCGCCTCATAGAAGGCAATTAGGTTAGTCAGGCATGACTTGCCCTTGGTGAATCCATGCTGACTGTTCCGGATCACTTTCCTCTCCTCTAAGTGCTTCAGAATTGATTCCTTGAGGACCTGCTCCATGATTTTTCCAGGGACTGAGGGGAGGCTGACTGGCCTGTAGTTCCCTGGATTCTCCTTCTTCCCTTTTTTAAAGATGGGACAGTGGCCAATGCCAGGTGCCCCAGAGGGAGTGAACCCAACAGGCAATGATCAAGTGATCTCTCTCCTGCCATCCATCTCCACCCTCTGACAAACAGAGGCTAGGGACACCCTTCCTTACCCATCCTGGCTAATAGCCCTTCATGGACTTAACCTCCATGAATGTATCTTTTAAACCCTGTTATAGTCCTAGCCTTCACAACCTCCACAGGCAAGGAGTTCCACAAGTTGATTGTGCGCTGTGTGAAGAAGAACTTCCTTTTATTTGTTTTAAACCTGCTGCCCATTAATTTCATTTGGTGATCCCTAGTTTTTATATTATGGGAACAAGTAAATAACTTTTCCTTATCTACTTTCTCCATATCACTCAATTTTATATACCTCTATCATATCCCCCCTTAGTCTCCTCTTTTCCAAGCTGAAAAGTCCTAGCCTCTTTAATCTCTCCTCATATGGGACCCGTTCCAAACCCCTAATCATTTTAGTTGCCCTTCTCTGAACGTTTTCTAATGCCAGTATATCTTTTTTGAGATGAGGAGACCACATCTGTACGCGGTATTCAAGATGTGGGCGTACCATGGAGGAGGATGAAGAAAAAAAGAATGAAGACAGGGCAGGGAAATGAGAGAATGTTCTTTTTCTTGGCTGGGTCCCAAGGGGGAGCCCCTGAAAATGAAGCTGCACACAGGGTCCCCCCCCACTCTAAATCCACCACTGCCCACCCACCCCCCTCACCCCTGCAGCTCCTGGTGCTCTTCACCCATCTCTCCCAGGCCTGGGGCTGCCACAGGGGTCTGACCCCACAGCCAGGCTACAGAGAGCACGTCAACCCACAGTGCCCTGCAGGGGGCAGGAGCAAGGGAGCAGGCCAACCCACCCCACGGCGCCCGGCGGGGGGCAGAGTGGCCCTGAGCTGCTGGAATCTTCCTGCTGCCTCCTCCACCCTCCCGTCCTGTAAGCGACACAGACCGCTTAGAGAGAGAGGTCTCCGGATACTGACTGGGCCTCTGGGCACTCCCAGATCAAGCAGAGGTTCAGCCCTCCTCAGCAGTGCATGTCACAGTCTTCCCCACCCTTCCTCTTTGTCACCTTGGACTGCGAGCTCTTTGGGACAGGGCTGAGCCAGGCCTCCTTCATGCTAATGCAGCACCTGGCACATCACAGCACCGGGGGGGGGGGGGGGGGAAGCTGAGAAGAGCAGCCAGTGAATGTTGGCATCAATGTCTGTGTGAGCTGGACCCTTAACCGGCCTGCCTGTCTGCGAGGCACTTGTATAGAGCCTGGACGGGGAGTATCTGCCTAGACTCCTAGAGCCCCAGGCCAGACAGGCCCACTGTGATCACCCAGTCTGACCCCCTGTATCGCACAGCCCAGAGAGCTGCCCCACAGTAATTCCCAGAGCAGCTATTAGAAAAACTGCCAATCTGGATTGAAAAATGGTCAGTGCTGGAGAATCCACCACACCGACTGGAACAATTTCCCAGTGGGTAACTCCCCTCACCATTAAAACAATTTATACCTTATTTCCATGGATCGTGTTGTACCGTCTCCACTAGACTGAGGAGCTCATTGTTAACATTTGTTCCCCATGTAGGTACCGATAGATTGTAATCCAATCGCCCGGTCACAGGGTTTACTACTCACCCCTGGGGCGCCTCCTTGTGGTTCACCTGGGGATTAGCTCCCAACCCATCTGACGCCCCCTCCTCTCAACTTGGGGGGCTCCCTCTTCATGACTTGGCCCTTCAGCCGGCTCACTATAGTCCTCCCCTCCCACGGTAACAAAGTCCCTCCGCACAAGCTGTCTCAGGCAGTCTTCCAATCCACTCCCCTGACTGTGCCACCTCCCCAGGGGCCAGCCCAGGGACCCTGTGTCTAGCAACCACCAGCTACACACTCAGACCCTGTGGCGGTTTCCCTGGGCTCCTTCCTCTCTATCTTCTGGTCCCTCCCCAGAGTTACCAGAGTTTCACCTGCTCTCCGGTTCTTGCCAGAGTCTGTATTTTCCAGGCAGGACCCCAGGACTCACTCCCTCAAGGCCACCTCCTTGTCTCTTGGGAACGATTGCAGAGCTCCTTCCTACAGCCTCCTCTTGTGCGCTACTTCCTGGTTTTATACTAGCGCAGCCTGCCCCTGCCCAGCTGGGCCTCACCAGTTAGAGCATATCAGCCCAGCCTCTCTTCCAGGTGCAGCTGTCACAGGGTTAATGGCCCCTTTTACCTACTAGGCCTTGTGGGGGGTAGAACCCCCCCCCCCTCACACACACACACACCCTTCTCCTTCTCCAGCTAATTGGGCTTAGCAATAGACTCCAAGAGCTACCAGGCAGGTTTTCTAATCCTTTAATCCATCTCATGGCTCTTCTCTGACCCTTCTCCAATTTATAACACCCAGTGCTTAATTTGTAATGAAAAAGGTGTTGGGGCTCTAGCGATTTTCTTACATTCATAACTGATGCAGCAAGCCCAGAGGGGCCGGGGCTCTGAGCCGCCAGGCCCCGAAGGGGCCGGGGCTTAGCCCTGGCACAAATTAAGCATTGTCAACATCCTTCTTGAATCAGACAATATCCCATCAGTGGTTGCACCAATGCCAAGTAACCTCTCTGCTCCTACTCAAGATTCCTGTTTACACATCCAAGGGTGGCATTAACCCTTTTGGCCACAGTGTCCCACTAGGACTTATGCTCAGCTGATTATCCATCGTGACCCCCAAATCTTTTTCAGAGTCACTATTTCCCGGGGTAGAGTCCCCCATCCTGTAAATACAGCCTGCATTCTTCGTTCCCAAACGTTACCTGTATTAAAAGGCATTGTTTGCTTGTGCCCAGCTTCCCAATCAATCAGTATCTGTTTTCTTCATTATTTACCACTCACCAGGTCTCGGTCCTGAGCGATGCGACGCAGCAACAGGGCTTCAAAGCCAGCCTCCCTTAGTGCTTGGGCAACATGGGGTATGTGCCTGTCTGCACACCCAGGCACAGATCCCCTCCCTACCAGCACGCACGGATGCTAGTCACTCACCCAGCCCCCATGGCAGCCCTCTGCCCAGGGTGGGGCAGGTAGATGCAGAGGCCTACGTTTGGGGAGGAAGTGGCTTTACCTCCTGAGCTCTCACTCCCTTCAGCTGCCTGCACCAGGACACGTGCCCAACCCCACCCTGCACTGTGTCCTAGTGTCCCTGCGGGGCTGGCTGAGCTGCTCGTTCGAGCCCAGGCATCACGGAGCCAAGTCAGGGGTTACTAATGGGTTTGCTACATCTCTCCAGCCGGAGTCTCAAACTATTTCCCTGCCCTTGTTTCAAATCTCTCTGGGTCCCCTTGGATCGATGCGTCCCTCTGCCAGTCATGCTCCTCCCATCACCTCGCCCATGCAGCCCCTGCTCCAGGACCGGCTGTGTTCAGACACACAGCTCTGTGCCCTGTCACTCTGGGCATGCACTAACACCTGTGCATGCTGGTGGGGACGGGGTTTGTGCCTGGGTGTGCAGACAGGCACATACGCGACGCTCCCCAAGCGCTAAGGGAGGCTGGCTGTGGCTGTTTCTGTGGCTGCGTCGCATCGCTCGGGACAGAGACCTGCTGTGGTAGTTTCTCTGCTGCTATTTCAGAGCTTATTCAGGAAGTGAAAACAAAAGCAGGGTGAAGGAAAAGCAATGCCCAGAGCTGTGAATACCAGTCATGGTGGGGCTGGGGCCCTGCAGGAAACCCAGTGAGTGGGAATCCTCAGGCAGCTTGGGGAGCCCTTAAAGGACTCCCCTGAGACGGGCAGGGACCACGTCTTCTCTAGCCCCCAGCACAACAGGCCCACAACCAACAACTGAAGTGGCTGCATCAGGCTTTTGCCTTTGACAGGACCTTTGAACTGTGGAGCTGGAACTGTAATGTGCTTTAAAATGTCCCTGGGAGTGGGTAGTGCTGCTGGGGCTCTCGGCTGCAGTCATCCTCCGTTGCTTTTGTGCATGGCCTGGGTTTGCACCCCTTTCACATGGAAGCCATAGCATCCACCAACACTGGGGTTCACCCGGACTGCACATCCCCCTCCTGGGCACTGCAGCCTTTCAGCCCTCCTCCTGTGGGGAACAATTTCTACTTATCGGAAAAGAAAACGCCAGCACAAAGCAGCCTCTTTCCAGCTGGCTCAGCAGAGGATGGCCCTGGCCTCGAGAATGGCAGGGCTCCCCATTAGGCCTAGGGAGAAGTCCATTGGGCTGGGAATCAGGGCACCAGGTGTCCCTAGCTCTCTGCCCTTCACACTCTTATCACTGAGCAAGGAGGCTGACAAGCATCAGTCCCTCCATCCTATGGTCGGCTCTCAGGGGCTGCAAAAGGTCACGCCTGGTAGATCAGGGAATAGAACCCAGGTCTCTGCCGTGGAAGACCCATGAACAGACCAGCTGAGGGAAATTGGGCTGCTGGTGCACCATGTTCGCTGAGGCCCCACCCCCTCCTTATTTCACTTTTTTACATAGACGCTACAGCTGTTTTGGGGGGCTTGAACTGAGGCCCTGGTACAATTGTCTCCCCCTCATCAGCCCTGCCCATGGCTTCCCCACTTAGCCACACTGCCTCTCAGAAAGATTAGGCCAAATCTAGGTGCTTGGCTATGCAGCCTGCTCATTCTGCAAAGCCCAGTCAGACACATGGCAGAAGGGCTGTTAATGACATCCTCAGATGCTGTTTGTTGTACAGGCTGGTTGCAAGCTGGGACCCAGGCAACTCAGCGGCTCAGTAATTTTATAGAGCACAGAGTGATCTCTCGGTCTTGTCCCCACTCTCCTGCACACTGGCTTCCTGCTCCCTCCCCTGGTTCACACAGATAGGCCGCCGTCCCCAGTCAACGTGACTGTTACGCACCTGAAGGCAAACTCCGCCACTGTCTCGTGGGATGTCCCGGAGGGAGACGTCATCATTGGCTATGCCATCTCACAGCAGGTACGCCAGGCTCTGCCCCCAAGGGGTCTCTGCCCCTTGTCCCCATCATCTCCACCCTGCCTCCCCTTCCCTTCGGGGGGCTTTCCCGGGAACCCCACCCGAGGGATGCACCATGAGCAGTGCTGGCCATGAGTTATGCAGGCTCCTTCTTCCTTCTCTGGCCATCCCACTGCTGGGGCATCAGCTCTGACCCCACCCATCTCTCTTCATCCTATCTGGGGGCCAGCAGGCCATTGGGCCTCCAGGGGGCAGGACTCACTTGGCCCCACCCTCCTGGCCACCCCCATCTTGTCTGTGCTTCGGGCCCCATCCCCTCCCTGCTGCCCTGGGCGGGGTCTCCACTCCGGGTGGGGCTTTGCGAGGGAGGAGTGTGTCCTTGTGACTGTACAATGGCACAGGGCACTCTAGAAATACTGCTAGTCACAGGATTATCCCTGCCCCGCACGTGCACGGCCCAGCAGAGTCCGAGGAGCTGGGGCTGGGCAGGAGCTCAGAGCTCACCAGCCACCCGAGCTGGCCACTTGCCCTCACTAACCCGTTTCCAGAAGGGCAGGGGAGCCCGCCCTGTGACTGACAGTGTCTCTCCGACTCTGGCAGCGGCAGGACGGGCAAATGCAGCGGTTCATCCGGGAGGTGAACACCACGAACCGGGCCTGCGTGCTGTGGGACCTGGTGGAGGACGCAGACTACATCATCCAGGTGCAGAGCATCGGCCTGCATGGAGAGAGCCAGGCCAGCAAGAGGGTCCATTTCCGGACCCTGAAAGAGACCGATCGCCTCCCCTCCAACAGCTCCAACCAAGGTAAGGGCAGGAGCCCGCGCTGTGCCATTGCCACACGCTCTGGTTGGGAGATGGGTCACTGGGCCCTGCAAGGTAAATTGCCTGCAGCCCACGGAAGCAGGAGACAGGTTCTGGTAACCGAGGGGAGTCGGGGCTGCCACGTGGGAATCCCCGTGGGGGTAGCTAGGGCTGGTGCTGTATTGCATTGCTGAGCTATACAGTAGCATTGGGTAAAGTCAGACCCCTCGCTATTCAGCCTGCCCCAGGTGAGGTGTCAGAAGGAGCTCGGGGGGGGGGGTGTGTGCAGAGGGGCTGGAAAGAGCCACCTGGGGGCTCCTGACTGGGGCTGTGCCCGGGACTGGAGAGGTGCAGAAGGTGCCTCCGCAGAAGCCTTTCATTCCCTGCTGCATGCTCAGGGCTCCTGGGCCGGGCTGCTCCATGGGGGACAAGGAGACCCAACTTGAACCACAAGGCTGTTCCAATAGCTCGTGCAGTGTCCCAGTGTGGCAGGTTTGTCAGTCTGGGAGCGTCGGGAACGGAGGCCCCAGGACCAAAGGAGAGGGACCTAGCACGGCACCTCTGGTATTGCAGCCCGCAGGCGGAATAGAGGCAAGCCCCTGCCCAACATGGAGTCGAGCCCCACAGGAGCCAGGAGACAAGGCGGGGGTGGGGAGGGGGAGACATTTCCTGCTGCACAGCCCAGACCCAGAGCATTGGGGGCATCCTGCCGTGGGGTGGCACCCACATGGGTTCTTCCGCTAAATCCTGCATCGAGGCAACAGAGGTGAAGGTGATAAGCAGCCCCTCGCTGCTGGAAAAGCCCATCCTAGAGAGGCACAGCACTGCCTGGCATGCAGCCTTGCCAACACTGGACACCTGTTGACATCACCCAAGCTCCCCCCAGTATGGAGCAGGCGCAGAGCGATGGGGACCAGCTCCCTTGTCGTGTTGGGCTGCAGGGGGCTCGTACCAGGTTCTCTGTTCCCTCCAGCTCCCTGCAGAGGGTCAGTCCTGAGGGTGAAGCACTTTTCCCTGCTGGAGGAAAGTGACAGGGTGCACTCACCTCTCGTGAGCGCCTCCTGTCAGCTGGGTGCGATCCTGCACTTTCCATTTCTGTGCAGCCAGCACCCTGTTGGCTGTCGCCCTGGTCAGGCAGGTCCTCACTGGCTCAGCCTCCCCAGCCAAGTCACTCGATGAATGGATGGATGAACCCCTTCCAGGGGAGAAGGTCCACGAGGGCCTGTCCCAGTGCCCCTGTGAATGTCTGTAGCCCTGTCTCTGTGCTCAGTTCTCAGGTCCTCCTGGGCTTGACATCCATGCCTGCCCTGGTACAGAGCAGGGCCCCCAGCTTCCTGCCTGGAGACTCTGCCTTTATCGGTTCTTATTTGCCCCTGCTCTCCAGCCAGGTCACTCCTTGGAGTTCAGTCCCCTTCTAGGGTAACAAAGTCCAACAAATGGTTGGCCCTCTGCAGGGTCTTCAGCCCCAGCCCTGTTTAAACTCCAAGCCCCTTTCTTGGGCATTTAATGCCTTTTCTACCCTCCTTGGGGCTTAGGCCACTCCTCTGGGGGGCACCTGGGCCTGCCCACTCCTCTGGGGGGCACCTGGGCCTGCCCACTACTCTGGGTCCCAAGTTCCCAACCCAGGGTCCCTATAGACAGCAGCCATGTGCTGCTTCCCTTCAATGGTCACTGCTGCCTTCCTGGGCTGCTTCTCCCTCTGTCCCATCACCTCCTTGGGGTGTCTGTCTGTTCCCTGCTTGAGCAGGATCTCTCCCAGGCACCCTCACCTGGGGAGCATCACAGCCACCCAGCCCTTCCTCCCACTTCTGCTCCCAGCCAGCAACTGGGGGGGTCAGCCCCTGAAGCGCCTTTTAACTGAGCCTGCTGCGCTCTGATTGGCTGCTTCCCTGCAGTCTCTCTAGGCAGGCCTGGAGGACCTACCTTCGCTGCTCCTGGTCTGGGGCAGGGGTGGTAGGATTGTGAGAGTAGGGTGACCAGATGTCCCGATTTTATAGGGACAGTCCCGATATTTAGGTCTTTGTCTTATATAGGTGTCTATTATCCCCCACTCCCTGTCCTGATTTTTCACACTTGCTATCTGGTCACCCTATGTGAGAGCCTGGTGCAGCCAGTCACAAGGACCCCGGGCGTGTGACACTGGGGAGGGCCCACGAGGGGTTAAACCTGCCGTGTGGCTGCTGCAGGCCCTTGGCAGGAGAGAAACTCTCCAGCATCTCTGGCCAGGCTGGGTCCCATCCCTCCCCCGCAGCCCGGGGCTCGCTCCGCCCCACACCCTGCTGGGGAGGGGGAGCTGTGCTGACGCTCCTCATGGGCACCGTCACCGAGGGGAGGAGCTGGCCGGGGCAGGTGCACAGTGCAGGGCGGACAGCTCAGCCCCCAACTCCGGAGCCCCAGGCTCAGCCCTCGTCCGTCTCCCCCTCCAGACAGTGGCTGGCTGGTGAGCCCTTGGCTCACGGCCCTGCCCTGCTTGTCTCCCCAGTGGCTTCTCCCAGGGGCTAGCAGGCTCAGTCCTCTTCCCCCGGCGGGGCGTGCTGGGCGGGGAGATGCCCACCGTGGAATTCTGGGTAAACTGGCTGGTTTCTGAAAGGGCAGCCAGTGCTATCAGCCCAGTGCCGCTCTCTGCAGGGCCGGAGCCAGCTCGGGTCTGGACTGGAGCCTGCGTCTGGTCCACACAGGGCCGGGTGGGCCTGACCTGTGCTACGGGGGGCAGCAGAGCCTTTGCACGGAGTGCTTTCACCACGCCTCCAGGTGCCATCCCAAGTCTCACCCCAGTGTTTGCCCTCGCTGACCCCGACCCCTCTCTGGTTCCCCTGCAGGCCCTGGCTGGGTCAGTCTCAATGGACTAAATGGGCCCAGAGAGCCCCAGACAGTGACGTGTAAAACTCAAAGCCGTTAAACAGCTTGCAGGCGTGACTACAGCACCCTTGGCTTGCTTAGCACCTGGCAAATGCACTAGAAAACTCACACTCCCAGGCTGCAGAGCGACAGCTCCGCTCTTTGTACAGCGCACTGACCACCTCTGTACGCAGCCTCCGCCCTCCCCAGCGAGCTGCCGAGGGCCTGGCACTGACCCCGGGACTCTGACATGAGCAGGAGCTACATCATCATCCCAGGCCGAAACAGAAACCAAGGAGCTGCTGCTAGGCAGGAGGGTGTGTGCCCCTGAGGGTGGGCGGCACGTGCTGGAGTGTTGATGGGAGGGAGGCAGGTGGGGCAGATCTGTCGGGATCCTGCTCCCCAGCACACACAGGCCTGTCAGACACAGGCACAGCCATGCCCCAGGCCCGCCTGGCTGGTGGGTATATGCCCCCCCTTCCCTGGAGCTCACACCTCCCCAGACTGTACCCCCATCTCCCGGGAAAAGGAGAAGGTGCTTTAACTCTCAAGGGGCCATCCGGGATCAGTCCAGCCTGCTGCTGCCTCAGCGGCAGCAAAGGTTTGATTGGCTCAGGGGTCCCCTGCCCTTTACACTGCTGGGAGCTGAGGGGATGAAACCCAGAGCCCTGTTTCCCCTCCCTCCACTTGTGTCCTATTAGCCCCCTGCGGTTCTGGAGTCTCCTCTGGCTCCGTGCCTTGGCTGGACGCTGTTTCTCATCTGCCCGCAGCCTGGCGGGGGCTGCACAACCTGACCGCCCCACCAGGCCAGGCCGCACCACACTGCTCGGCGTGTGTCTTGCAGGTGACATCACCGTGGAAGGGCTGGACAAGGAGCGGCAACTCCAGACTGGGGAGATTGTCATCATCGTGACTGTGCTGCTCATGTGGGCAGGTGAGGAAAAGGGGAGAGGCCAGTGCTCACAGGTCCCACCTCATGGGCCTCTGGCCCCTCTGGATTCCATACGGGGTTGGGCTGGAAGGCAGCACGTGGGTGTGAAGGCGGGCGCAGGAGGTGCAAGGGGCTGTGGCTCTAGTGGGTGGGTGGCAGCTGTAGATGTGAAATATCCTGCTGTTAGTAAAGCTTTTGACACAGTCCCCAGTGACGTTCTCATAACAAACCAGGGAAATGTGGGCTAGATGAAATTACTCTACAGTAGGTGCCACACGGGTTGAAAGACTGTACTGAAAGAGTCATTGTCAATGGTTCGCTCTCAAGCTGGGGGGGGTGTATCCCACAGGTCAGTCCTGGGTCCAGTACTAGTCAGTAATTTCATTAGTGATTTGCGTAATGCAGTGGAGAGACTGCTTATAAAGTTTGTGGATGACACCAAGCTGGGAGGGGTTGCAACCACTGTGGAGGACAGGATTAGAATTCAAATTGGCCTTGACAAATTAGAGAATTGGTCTGAAAACAACAAGATGAAATTCAGTAAAGACAAGTGCAAAGTCCGTATGCTGTAGCTGGGTTGGACCCAGGGTGTTAGAGATACAAGGAGGGTGAAGTATCAGAGGGGTAGCCGTGTTAGTCTGGGTCTGTAAAAGGCGACAGAGAGTCCTGTGGCACCTTATAGACTAACAGACGTATTGGAGCATAAGCTTTTGTGGGTGAATACCCACTTCGTCAGACGCGCGTCTGACAAAGTGGGTATTCACCCACGAAAGCTTAGGCTCCAATACATCTGTTAGTCTTAAAGGTGCCACAGGACTCTCTGTTGCTTTTTACAGATCCAGACTAACACGGCTACCCCTCTGATACTAGAACAAGGGTGTTACTGTATGGCTACAGATGGGGTTGCTTGAGCCTCTGGCTATCAGACTATGGCGTGGGGTGATTTGTAGTAATGCCTTCATTCTGCTGAGTGAAAGAAATATGAATATTTTACTAAAAGCAGCAAAGAGTCCTGTGGCACCTTCTAGACTAACAGACTATTAACAGGACTCTTTGCTGCTTTTACAGATCCAGACTAACACGGCTACCCCTCTGATACTTGAATATCTTTTATTAAATCAATGTCTGTTGGTAAGAGAGACAAACTTTCAAGCTTACACTTGAGACCTGAAGGTGGGACAAGAATAATGAACTTAATCTGCAGCAAGGGAGATTTAGATTAGGTTTTAGGAAAAACTTTCTAACTCTAAGGATAGTTAAGCTCTGGAACAAGCTTCCAGTGGAGGTTGTGGAATCCCCATCATGGGAGATTTTTAGGAGCAGGTTGGACAAACCCCTGTCAGGGACAGTCTAGGTTTACTTGGTCCTGTCACAGCGCAGGGGGCTGGACGTGGTGAAAGTCAATTGACCCTGATCACAGATAACCAACTGAGCCTGAGTTCCCTGCGTGGTGCTGTAGGTAAGAGGACTCTGGTGATCCTTGGATGTATAAGCAAGAGTAAGGAGGTGTTATTTCCTCTTCGCTTTGCCTTGTGGGACCACTGCTAGATACTGTGTCCAGTTCTGGGCCTACCCTCCAAAAAAGATTGCAGCCAGTTGGAAAGGGTTCAGAAGAGAGTTACATGAACAGTGTGGGTCTGTGTACACTGCAGCTGGGCGTGAGTATGCAGACGCACGCTTGGAGGCTGGAGCTAATGCTAACAATAGCAGTGTGGCCAGTGCAGCAGCAGGAGAGATTCCAGCTGGACACCAGAGCTCAGATCCAGGGCTTGAGTGGGCTTTTGAGTCCAGGCTGCCACTGGGCTGCAATGGCCACACTGCTATTTTTAGCTCCAGCCCTGCTAACGAAAGTCTGTCCACCCGGGCTGGGCGACCCGCTCCCAGCTGTAGTGCTGCCAACCTGTTTGAGGCCTGGAAAACGTGCCTCAGAGTGAAAGACTCCAGAAGCCCAACCTACTTAATCCACGAGACGGTTAAGAGGGAGAGGGCTCTTTGGGGCAGCCTACACAGGCAACATGAGATTCCCAGATTCCGAGGCCAGAAGGGACTCTCATGATCACCTAGTCTGACCTGCATAACACAAGCTAGAGAACCTGCCCCAGTGATTTCTGCAGCCAGCCCATTACTTCCCATGGAGCAATTGCAGAGCTATTAAAAGCACACCCCGTCTTAATCTAAAGACTCCAAGCAAAGGAGAATTCACCACTCCCCTCGGTCAGTTATTCCAATGGACAATTGGCATTTTGCAGGGGTGTGAGGTCCAGGGCCGGCTCCAGGCAACAGCGAAGGAAGCAGGTGCTTGGGGCGGCCAATGGAAAGAGGCGGCACGTCCGGCTCTTCGGCGGCAATTCAGCGGCGGGTCCCTCAGTCCCCCTTGGAGGGAAGGACCTGCCGCCAAATTGCCGCCGAAGAATGAAACGGCGCGGTAAAGCAGCCGCCAAAGTGCTGCCGGTCGCGGATTTCCCCCCCCCCCCCCCTCTTCGCCACTTGGGGCGGCAAAAAAGCTGGAGCCGGCCCTGGGGAGGTCTAATGGGGGCAGGGTAGGGGGCAACACTAGAGCTAGGCAAAAGTTTTAAGCAAAATGGATTTTTGATGGCAGAGGCTTTATGAAGGAAACCAAACCTTTGTGAACAATGTTTTTCTTTCTACAATTTTAGCTTTTTTGATTAAATGAGATTTTGTTGCGATTTTTTTTCTTTTCTCTTTTTCCTCTGCACACGGTAGTGATGAGACTGATACTGGATACCGCGGCCAGTCCTGGTGTCCACATTTTAAACAGGATGTTGAAAAATTGGAGAACATGCAGAAAATAGCTACCAAATTATTCAAAGGCTGGAGAAAACGAGTGAGAGACTTAAAGGGCCCAATCTGTTTAGTTATGAAAAAGAAGATTATGAGGTGAATTAACTTGGTAGGGAGAAAACCCCCAGTACTAACGGGCTCTTTGGTCTACCAGTAAAAGGCAAATAAGAACCAATGAAGCCAGACAAATTCAAAGGAGAAATTAGGCACAAATGTTAAACAGTGAGGGCGATGAGCCACTGGGACAAACTCT